AGTAAATAGATTAATAATATACACAGTAAATAAATCACAGTATAGAAATCAGAGTAAATAAATCAGAGTAAATGAATCACAGTACACAAGAAAATAAATATCAAAGCCAATGGTTCTCGAACATCTGTAACATACAAGGGATTAGTAACAAGAGAGGGGACACAACAATATGCACAGTAAATAAATTGATGGTTGTCGAATGCCTGCAACAAACAATGGGTTAGTAACAAGAGAAAGAACGAGTATGAGACGCACGACCACCCTCCGCGACGGTTCACGACAAAGTGAGGAAGCAAGCACAGACCTGCACGGGCTGGTACGACCTTGGTATACGGCGTACACGGCTAAGTCAATAAACTGGGTGACGCAACTCACTAGCGCGTTGGATCGACGGAGAGCACCGATACTCGGCACGCTCTCCCGCTCTCGCTCGCTCCCGTTCAACCGTTCCGGCCAACTCCGGCACCGTTCGGTATACTTCGGCACCGACGGAGAGCACCGATATCGCGGCTCGCTCTACCGCTCTCGTATATTTATTGATGTTCATATTCCCCAAATAAATATCATTTTTAACTAATTTGTTTAAGCAACATGTTCCTTTTAACGATTTAGCTCTCCATTAGAAATCCCTAAGACCGTTATTTATTATACATTTCATATCGTTAAATACGATTTTTCTCACAGGATACGGATTTCTATTACAGTATCACAAAATAATTGCAAATATGAAACTTCTTTACCTCTTCTTGAACATTCGAACATATGAATGGAATATATAACACTTCATTTGTACTAATAATACTCAGAATTCATGCTTTATCGGTAACGTTGGGTATTGACACTAAAATGGTAACAGGGTTACGTAGCCCTATGAACGTGGGACAGAAAAAAGTATTGGATGATAGGTCTATTCTATACCTAGTCAGTGCTTTTACTGTTTCTTAATTGATTAAATATCTATCTACTAGTAAAATATGTAATAATGTTACTATAAGTATACATGTATCAGTATACGGAGTACCATAAGAGGCAGTAATGTAGAATACACACTGGTATTAAAATTGCAAATTTCGTGAATAGAGAAGAAACTCCAAACAAATAGGTAAACTCTAATTTAAAATTTAAAAAAAAACTATACATGGCCAACTTCCGGTTAGATATCGCGACCGCGAGGGAAGTGTAGTTACTGAGAATGGCGATTGTTGTTTCATTTACAGACCCTTTATTTTCAGCGTACTTAACGACCGATTCTTAGGACGCGACGTGAACTTTTCATATCAGTTAAGGAAACCTTTCATATAACGTCATTGAACTATGAATTCAAACTTTGCTATCAATTTTAAACAATTTAATCGGATTTAAAAAATGTATATATTAAGCAAGGAAACCAACCTGCAATTTTCTTCTCAAATAAAAAGAATTTTTTAACTTTCTCAAAGGAAAATGTAATTATACTTTTAAAACACAGGTTTATCTGTTTTCTTAAATGAATCTTGTATCCGATTCTATTAAACAATTCACAAACTATAGTAACGATAAATAAAATCATAAATTTCATTTTTATTAATAAACAAATGATTGTAATATATTTTTTTCAAATTGAAAATAAATTATTAAACTTCTTTTCAATGCTTGAAATTTTTCTTTGAATCTCAATTGATAAGTGTAGGATCGAGTTTTCAATATTGACGATTGTAGTTTATTTCCTTCGAACGATTTTCAACGGACGAAATGGTGCCGACGATGCCGCCTGATTCGCATAAAATTTCACTGAAAATCATCGAAGCGATAAAACAACACCCAGTTTTATATAGTGCCGAAGTGAAGGGCTCTTCGGTTAAGCTTCAGGAGTTCAGACAGAAAGTCTGGAAGAGGATTTCCGATGAACTTGGTCTCGATCGTATGAACCTGTTTTCTTTCGTCTTCTTAAAAATAATGCTACATATTCATTACAATACCCTTTTTTAATTAGTAAAACCTTTACCAATCCATAGTCTTTATTAATAAAATCAGAAATAATATTAAGAAATTCATGTTACATGAATATTGACCTCATGGTTTAACACATTATTTTCCTAAACTCTCTAATTACTTCATTATATGAATTTTTCTATGATTCTTATACTTAGGATTTGATTACTAGGTATTTAATTCTATTTAAAAATACAATTTTATTGATATCCTTAGCCACCTGGGTGAGACTAAGATGGAAAAATTTGAGAGATACGTATTGTCGCATATTAAAATATAAGAATAAGACAGAAAAAGGAGTTCGTAGAAAAAAATGGATTTTTGAGGATCATCTTAGCTTTCTAAAATTCCCGTAAGTATATTGCACAGTCTTAGAAATATAATATTTTATGGTAACATTGATATTTTTATATAATACAATTAAAGAATTGCAAGTATCTTTTAAAATTTTGCAATTAGGTACGAGTCTGATTATCAGGCACAAAGTATAGAATTAACAGAAGATTACATTCAAGATATAAATGCCGGTGGAATCAGTTCTGAAGGTCTTTTAGAGCAACTGGAAGATCGTAATGATGAAGATTACAGTGAATATTTGGAGGTTTTAGAGGAAACAACTGCAGATCCAATCTTAGGTCGTGATTCTATGGAATTGACTGATAATGGGGATGGTGTATTCAAAACCGTAGATGTAGAAGATACAACGCAACATGATATTGATATGTATGCGCAACAAATTCAATCAAAATTTAGAAAAATAAGACCAAAAAAGATGAAAGTTGAACCAGCAGAAATACCTACAACTTATAGTATTTTGAAAACTCCTTTCACAAAAAGAACAGTGGATACACCAGTTTTTGTGACTGCACCAGTTGCGAGCAGTCCTAATAAAAATAATTCTACAGGAGAAGTGAGTGTATTGATACAAATTTTTTAATATAATGACTGTGGCCACTGTCATCTTTTAACTCATCAATATTATTTCTTATAGGATGTACAGAATAATTATGATCAAGTCTACTTAGCACCAGAGGGAAAAAGCAGTATAGAACTCTTTTTTGATAGCATGGCACAAACTGTTAAGCGACTTCCAGCAAAAGCGCAAGCAGATATTAAAATGAATATCTGTAAAATTGTAACAGAAGCAGAACTTAGATATTCTGGACGTAATACACCGCAAAGTACTCAACAATTTATAGCACCACCTGGAATGATTCCTAAGTTAGTTCTTATTCCATGTAACATGATTGACAAACAAAACAATAAGGGTTGACAATTTTCAGTGTAAATTTCTTTGAAGTCAGAGGTATTGTGATATATTGTAAAATAAAGTCTTCTATAATCAGGAGATCAGAAGATCGTAACAAACATAGAAGAAAAAGGGCAACAATTGCATCAATGAAAGTGTTCCAATAAAGACGATTTTTGTAATTAGTGTGGTATTTCCAGTTTTGTAACATATATTGATAAAGTTAAATGTACATAGGTGTTGTCATTATATCTTAAGCTGTTGTTATACATGAATTTACTTATTTTAATAGAGCATGTAAATATGAAGTTCCACTTAATTTTTTTAATAAAACCTCATATTTTCACTCCCACACTCTGGTAGTCTTGAAGATAACGGAATGACTTATGACCTAAGGATTATCATGAATAAACTATAAAAAAACAATTTGTAAACCAAGTTAGATACTTCTATTTTGCAGACTGTACAATAATCTTATAAAACCTTTAACAACTTTTTATTTTAATTAAATTAATCATTCATATAATGAAACAACATATACATAGTTAGAAATAATAACAGAAATACAAAGTAATGTCATAGTAAATCATAATAATGTATAGATATAATATATAGAACGTTGATAATTATGTATTATTTTTATTATTAAGTATATTGATATAGTCTTCCAAACTTTATGCTAACTTATCATGTTTCATTATATCTAGAACTTATTTTGTTAACATAAATTTATGTTTTACATTTAAATAATAAGTATAACTGTGAGTTGAATAAATATCGAATCAAAAATCGATTAATCGAGAAGCAACTTGTGCAAAAATGCACGTTCCTGAAATAAAGTTATTTTATCTTATTTATTAACTTTATTGTACAGTCAGCATTATGTTTTTAAATAGATATGAAATCTTTTTGAATTTGTTTATCTGAAGCTTATCACGTCTGGAAATTTCAGAGTTCCTTATAATGCAGCCAATATGATCGTTTAATGGTATAAGATAAGAAACTCCTCAAATTTAAAGTATTCGACGAATTATTGTTATTGTGAATATGTTGCGTATTTATCTTCAAAATACTAGGCAAATTAAGTTTCTGCAAAAATGTGGTTCTTTGAAAATTAGAAGAACTTTTGCAGATAAGGTAAGCAATTAGAATTTGTAGGTTATTTGCCGAATTACATACTGATTCCTGTGATAATTTATATTACTATGTAGTGTATTTAGTTATGTATCTCCTAAAATTGTTAAGAATTTTTAACCTTTATAAATTATTAACCATATTCAATTTTTTATCGTTTATATAAGATTTAAATTAATGTAGTTTTGAAAGACAATAATTATTAAATATTAATAAATATGCTACAGAAGTAAAACCACTTTTGAAATTAAAACAAACAGAAAAAGAATTAAACTATTATCATCTTTACTAAGTCCTGTATTAATTTCAAATAATGAGTACCTTTGCTGTGTTTGATTTAAATAATTGTACAATTTTATATACAGCATTAAAATAGGATTAGTTATACGTAATTAAATTATTTTTTAATATTAAGAATGAAATTATTATGTACAGACTTTACATGACGTTGACTCTGAAAAATTAGATTTTGTATCAATATTTGTATTGTTAATACCGTAATACAATTATTGCATGTTTCGAAATAGTATTGATATATAACAATTATTGTACTATTAAATAAACTGTTATATCATAGCTTAACATGCTTTTCTTTAAGTTTATATTAATCCTATCATGAATTTTCAGAGAATAACTAATAGAATTATTCTAAGGGACAAGGATTCTAATCTTCCAACATTAAATAAAATAAAAAATAATCTAGAATCACTAAAAAATGCTCTACTGCCATGGGACCCTAACGACGATGTAATACCTTGGTCAGATCGTACACCTGAGATTTCATTGCATTGTGATATTGTTGTAATTGGTGGAGGTGTAATAGGCAGTTCAATAGCTTATTGGTTGAAGAAACGATATTATAAAACCATGAAAGTTATAGTTGTTGAGAAAAATCCGATGGTAAGTCTTGTCACATATAAATGTACTCTTAATGTGTGAAACAAATACAATGTTTTTGTTATAAGTACAGTCTATAAAAGATTACAGTAAATTTTTGATTAATGCTCAAAATTCGTAACCGGATTGGGACAGTTATCGTAAAGGGACACAATTCCTGCATCTCATAAATTTTGGGTCAAGCCTCGGCAGCTTGCTTTTGTACTTTGCCGGCAGTATGCTCAAGGCAGCCACAAAGATTAAAAGTCTGCGTATCGCTGTGACAGCACTGGTACATCAATGAAACTTTTCTTTTTGGTTATATCGTCATGAAAATCTTGAGATTTGTCTGATGAAAATGATACCAAACCTGATATACTTCGAATCATATTCATTTACTTCATGTCAATTTTCTTTCATTATCGTTTCTGATACTTCACAAATAATCTCAATTATATTGTTATTTAATATGTTATTTAATATATTAATAAATTTTACATATCAAAATAACCAAAAATAAAATAGTTTTATTGTTGCATTAATTTTTCCCTCGATACGCTGTTTTTTTAGTCTTTTTTCTTTTTGCTCAGCTTTTGGCTCGTGAAAGGGAAGCCGCTGGTGTTACATCCTTGGTTCCAAGAGAGAGTCCTCCAGTAGTGGTGATGAAGCAAAAGCATTTAATATAGAAATCTTTACGAACATTTATCGAGAATATACTGTACTCAAAGGAATAAATCCATAAGTAAGCCAGTTAAAGAATTTCATATACTTTTTGTAATAAGAAACTTGAACTTCATTTCAGTATACTACAGCATCAACGGTTCTCTCAGTGGGAGGGTTGCGCCAACAATTCTCCCTCCAAGAAAATGTTGAAATGTCTCTTTTTGGCGCAGAGTTTTTACGTAACATTAATGATTACTTAGGCATCGAGGGGGAACCTCCGATTGATTCATTCTTCCATCCATATGGATATTTAATGTTGGCATCTGAAAAAGGAGCATCCACATTAATAGAGAATTCTAAATTACAAAATTTTCTTGGAGCAAATAATATTTTACTATCGTCAACTAAGCTGAAAGATATGTTTCCTTGGATGAACACAGATGATGTTGCATTGGGTTGTTTAGGATTGGAAAAGGAAGGCTGGTTTGATCCATGGTCTCTTCTTTGTGCTTTTAAAAAGAAGGCACTAATGTTAGGAGTAGAATATGCTTATGCAGAAGCAAAAGGATTTGAATATAAAAAGAACAAAGGCGAACACATAAAAGACGAGAAGTTAGACAAATTAATTGTAAGTCTTTAGTTTAATTTATTATGTATTTTTTAAATCTTTTTTATTCTATCATGAACTTATAAAATGAGTCCTAAATAATATGACTGAATATAATATAGTTTAATATCTTTTATTGACTAAAAGGTACATGGCATTGCAATTACACATTTTAATATTATTTTTATCGAATTTTATTATTTACGTCATGATATTTTTATTTAAGCATACATATCAGATTTATATTGGTATCGCAGAATTTTGTACTTCTAATATGTGCCCTTAATGCACTATTTTCATGTACCAGCATGTATTTTTAATTGCATTTATTTCAAGTAATTTCTGGTTTCAATTTTAGTTTTGCAATACGAAACAAAAGTATATAAATGAACATTCTTTTTTTTAGATAGAAACTCCAGAAGGGGAAAGAAGAACCATAACTTTTGCATTAGCTGTTGTGGCTGCTGGTGCTTATAGTGCAAAAATTGCAAGAATGGCAAAAATTGGCTTTCAAAGTGGAGACATAAAAAGTATAGCTTTGCCTGTTGAACCAAGGTTGTTAATTGCTAGTAAACTTTATACAGTTGATATTTAAAATTCATGTTATTAATATTTTACCAATAAAAATAACTTTACTTCACAGAAAAAGGTATGTCTATTGTTTCCACTGTCCTGAAGGACCAGGTATAAATACTCCATTCACGATCGATTATTCAGGAACATATTTCAGGTAAAAATCAGATGAAACTTAGAAGATCGATAGGACATTTTGAAAATTGATTTTGAAAACAGTATACATATATTTGGCATTTATTAATTAGTTTCATCAGAAATACTGAATATATTAAGTATTTTTCATATTATTGCTATGTTTTGTAGAAGAGAAGGTTTAGCAGGTACTTACATTTGTGGAAAATCACCAGAAGAATCAGAGGAACCTTCGATTGATGACTTAAGTGTTGATTATGATTACTTTGATGAAAAAGTTTGGCCGATACTTGCACAGAGAGTTCCATCTTTTGAAAAGTTAAAAGTATGTTTGAGTTTAAAATAAAATTTCCCTTTTATTAGATATTTTGAAAAGACATTTCTGTAAACTGTAATTTCAATATAACAATTTTTCTTTAAACATAATTAGTATAGTACGCAGGAAATATATTGTATTACGCTTAAAAAACTTTCGTTATGAAAATGAGACATATAAATTTTTGCCTAAACTGACAATACCACATTTTAAATTATGATTAATTATTATTTAACATTTCATGAAAACTGTATTTAAGTCTCCTGTTTCATCGAATGGATTTACATTGTTTTTAATATAAATAATATAATGTTTGCTTTACAGTTAAAGTCTTGTTGGGCAGGATTTTACGAATATAATACTTTCGATCAGAACGGAATAATTGGAATGCATCCATATCATAGGAATTTATTGTTTGCAACCGGATTCAGTGGACATGGAATTCAACAAGCGCCAGCTGTAGGTAGAGCAATTTCAGAATTAATTATTGATGGTAGATATACAACCATTGATTTAAGCAACCTCGATTTCTGTAGAATTATTAGAAATAATCGTATGTTAGAAAGAAATATTGTTTAAAACGTGCGTTATGTATCTAGAATATGAAGTTTCATGCATACATAAATATACCTTGCACAGCATTGTTCATTATATGACATTGTTTATACACATTTAGCATGTTTGGTTTAAGCATATGAACTGAATAATAATTATTTTTCAATGTGCTTAAGATAGAAACATTCGTTACAGATTTTATACGATTATTACTCCATAGAAATTTCAATTTGACCTTTGCGTTGTTTTGTATTGAAACTTTACAGTCTAAAAACTTTATTTATCTGTAATATCAAAGCATATGCTTAAACGAAACTGTAATATGAATGATATCTCAAAATAAATGTTACGCCAGGCTTACAATCTTCTTTTCATTTAGAATTTTAAATTAATGTACGAAATTTCTTGTTTTTACCTCATAGTATCATATTTTACATTTCATGAATAATTTGATTTCTTTATGAATTAAAGGAGTACAAAGACTTTAATAAACATCCATGTATAAGGGCATAAAAAAGGTGTATTAAATTTATATATGTTCTTTAATAATTAGGTGACATTTATTTTTGGATATATTGTGTATTTATCTGCTTGAGTATCAAGCCGTTTTGTATATACATATACTTATGTACCTGTGTACAATTTCTGTAGCTCTCATGTATATATATACATGTATAGTAATAAAATTAATATTTACATTTTAAAACATAATGTTTTAATTTCTTCATCATCTTTACTATCATATTTTGTAAGTGACATTGAATGTAATATATTACGATTAATACATACAATCTAACTACGAAGAATAAGCAAAAGATGTTTGAGTAAGAATTGTTTAACTTCATGTTAATAATTTTAATATATTTATCATGTACCTGTAATAAATTTTTTTCCTAATTAATCATGATGTCAAACATTCAGAAGTTTTAAAAGTTAAAGCATGTAATATAAACAGTATTGATAACGTTGTGCAATACTTCTTTATTAAAATGCAATTTGTAGAAATAAAAACGTTATAAAACAATACAATCGACACAGGGTAAAAACAGTAATAACATAGGAATACGATATCATATTATTGTATGTAAGTCAATATAAATTCATTTTTTGCTTATTTTATAGTATAAGTCCTAGGAAATATACAACTTTGTGGAAAAAAACAAACTAATTAAAGTGAAAACATAACATTGTTAATATTAATAGAGTAGGAAGCAATAACAAATGAGTGTACAAATTGTTGTTTCTTTGTTTACTCGATCATCACAGAAAGAAAAGAACACGAGTTATGGAAAAGATTATTATAATTTATAATCTGATAACAATAAATGACTTGTTCGTAAAAATGTTTTGTCCAGTGAATCATGGAATGGTTACTACATACTTATAAACTAAAAATACAAATTTAATAATCAGACTCTTTTTACCTTAATTATTACAAACATAAGTCATTTATCGTAATTGAATTTTTCTTGATGGAGGTACTTTTTTCGTGACATAAATTAAATAATCTTTCTAGGAGGTATGTTTGGTGAAATAAATTATTATATTTCGATTCGTATCAGTTTACTGTATTTCAATGCTGAGTACGGCGTATTATCAGATAAATGCAAATAAATGCGCGCACATCGAAGCAGCAACGGCGAGAAAAGATTATCGATTCTGACATTCAATCCGCTCTACGATCAATGTACCTAAAAAATGTTCATAGTGTTCGAGCGAAACCAACCGATAGCATTTCTTCTTTCTTTTCGATCACTTGGAACATATACAGATGTTAAACATACAACTGACTGAAAGGAACGTGTTTTATTCATAAAAAAAGAAAATGATAGAAGAATGAAACTGTTAAGAACCAGATGTTATAGAATCATTGAAATAAGATACATGTTAATAATATAAACGGAACGAAATTTTAATAAAACTCAATAAATAGATAATAACTATCAGGAATAGCCAACTATGTAAAATTGGAGCGTAAAAAAATAACAACAATACAATAAAATTGACTGAATAAAAATGATCAGAAATACTCTGATAAAACTACAATGATGTGCAACAAAAGCTAAATACGCTAGATATTATTAAAAATAATGAAACATGTTAATCAATTCCATTAATTTAAAAAAAAAAACAAACAGTCGAGGAACGATTGATTTTTCGCAGCCTAAATTTCTCCCTATATTAACAATGTATAATGAGTAACCTATGCTATGTAATACAGTACATAATAAATACACTAATGATGTATAATATGTTAACAATCAGATAAGACATTACAATATTTACTGGTATTATTTATATAGTAGAGGAACGTGGAACGATACATGTCTTTCTTTACATCTGCGATAAACATTTACCGCAATCGAAGCAATTTAGTCAATGAGAATTATACATTCTCAGCGCCATAAAAATTTCACCATTCATAAACGTAATCGGCGCCAAATAGGCCTTAATTATCTCGATTAAACTAGAAACCGATTAAATATATGAATCATCAAATTATTTACACGTTTATCTAAAATTTATTTAGAATTTGTTTTAAATCTAATTCGAATCTGTTAGAATATTAATCATCGTAGGCTATTTCATACAAGAATTATTATTTTTAGTAATGATTGATCAATCCTCCCACGTCTCTCTTAGGTGTTATAAAACTACACTTCATTTCCTCGAAACTGAACATTTGAAACGAGAACACTTTCGATCAGAGAGAGAAAAAGGAAAAAAAAAATAAATGCTTTCGGTCGGCCAGTCTGTAACTTTGTAAAGAGCGAGGTGTAACGCAGATTTTGAGCGCCAGTAGACTGAAATTTTATTCGAAAATTCACGAACAATTTTTAACAAGTTTTATTATATCGGTAAATATTTGAATGAAATAAAATGTCTTTCCCGAACAAACAACAGTTCTGTCTACAAAGAGTGCTAGACAAAAGAATATTTCAAGCACTTATTTCGAAATAAATAAAGTTATTTATCATTAAATACTTACTTAGATAATCATTTAAATTAAGTATATTTTATATAACGTCTAGCACTATTTACGGACACGACTGATAATGTAATTTCATAAAAATTAGTTCGTCAATTGTTCGGATAAAAAATTGCCCAACTTCCAAACGAAAGGAGGCGCGTATAACTTTGGATAGAAAGAGGTGTGCGGCTAAGGGAGCTGGCCCGTGTTTCCGTGATGAAAAGACGAAAAAAAAAAGACCATTTATTCCTCTTTCTCAGCCTTCTCAACATCCTGCTTTTCTTCAGCCTCTATATCTCCCTCAAATTTCGGCCCAGGCTCTTCTTCATCATCAATCACGATCTCCTCTGGATCTGGAGCTCGCGGAAGAAAGTCTTCGTCAGGATACATCGCTTTGAAGATCCTCATTGCCTTAAAAAATTACGATGCAGATTATTATAAATTTCTACTTAAAGTTCTAAACATCTATGGTACTTAACCTGTTAACCGGTGAACACGAGTTAATTCGTCATTTAAAAATGCCTTTTCTCTGGTGTAAACTTATTAATGTTGAGAAATCAGAAATAACGTTAACGACATATTCATATACCTGTTATAGGCAAGACGAGTTAATTCATCTTTTGTTATTTGTTACTACGTAACTAGGGGGGGGGGGGGGCATTTGTGGAGAACATTTGTATTTGGCATTTGAACGCAATTCTAATTTTCGTAAGTTTGTTTACGACTACGTATTACACCATTTTAAAATGTCTCCATTATATGTCACTATTGCATTGCAAAAGGTTAAAACGAAGTGTTTCTAATAATTTTTGAGTAATTAGAATTATCTAGATCTTAAGTATTGTAAAAACAAATGATAGAAAATTTAAAGAAATTAACCTGATTGACTGCGAAGTCAAAGTCGAGTTCTAAATCTGGACCCGAACAAAGATGAAGGTTACTTGGCGCGGAATCATTTAATTTAATATCACTTGCGGGTAGATTTAAGTACAGTGACCACAAAACTTGGGGCTTTATATTTTCTGTCGACTCTTCCTTGTCATTTGCCTGGTTACCTTCCTGTAGACATAATATATCTCATCTTATTGAAATGAAATTATCATGATCATGTACACATAATAAACACAATAGCAACATTGTACAACTTCAGAATTTGTATTTAATTTAAATTATTTACCACGTTCCGTGCTTAGATTTCGCGCGACTTTCCGTTTACGCCATGTGGTTGTCATCGAAGGCCCACAGTAGATTATAACATAAACTTGGTAAATATTTACAATGAGAGAGCTACCTCTGATTTCGATGATATTTTTAACGAATAGTATTGCGATGGTTTTAGTTAGGGGCCGCCGTTCGTAAAAAAATGATTATCAAACAAAAGTTTAGTTTCATGCTTTAGTAGTTAGTGATAAGGAAAGAAACCGATGATCTAGACTAGACCTTCATATATATTGTTAAGGTCACCCTCCTGAGTGACTTTCAGAAAGTTTCAGTCATTCAATGTTGTTTATTGAAATGTTATTAAGAGAACAATGTTACCTTTTTCTTCAACTGTCTCTAACCAACTATGAATGACTTTTTTCCCTTGAACTGTGTCTAACCAACTCTGAAGCATTATAGTGATTGGAGTAGATTGGAGACAGTTCAAGAAATAAAGTAACTTTTTATTGATAATTCCCCCAAAACAATAGACGAGTTTCTACTTGTTGAAATAGACTTGAGAAGCTCGTCTATTGTTCTGGGGGATGATGCTTTATTTTTGTTAGTAATTTTTAAAAAAAGCGCATCGAAATCGTTGGGAAGGACAAACTGCTAAATAATTATCTACCTTAACTCTTTTTGATAATAATTTTTTTACCAACAGCGATCCTCAACTAAACCCTTCACAACGCTACTCAGGATGATAATTTTGACAACATATTGAAAAATCATCGAAATCGGAGGTGGCTCCCCCAAGAAGAAATAAAAGACAAAAAATAGTCGATACTATAATGTATTGTGATGATAGTAAAAATCGACAATAGTCAGAACGGGAGGTTTGTCGTGGACCACCGATAGCCCACTGAGCATGAAACGTGTTAAAATTGTAGTTTCAAGTCATTTTTACTCGATATCGTTGCATGTATGAAAAAATATTCTTAACACAATCTGTATAAAGAAAAAAACGTACCTGAAGGTGTCTCTTATCTGGGGAAACAGTCTGTGTATGACTATGAATGGACGAACGAATGGCTAATGGGTCAAACGGTTCTGCCTTTAAAAATTTATTGACAACATAGGCCAAGTCTTCCTTTGCATTCGTCGTTCGCTTGCATGTCATGTGAACCATAACTGTTTTAAAACAAAGCAATCAATACACCGTAATTGGAATTATAAATTAACCTTACGTTTTATAAATTATAACAATGTTTACATACATAGTCCTTGAGGGCAAGCATTTGTAGATGGTCCCAATTCAATCAGCGTAACAGGTTCTTGACCAGGTTCTTCTGGAGGATAATATAAAAGTGTCAAATTCTCCTTTTCACCTTGCATTATTGATCTACAAGAATCGCAATATTATATTTCATCAGAATTTGAGTTTATTGTTACATAAAAATTCAAATTAAATATATAAACAATGAACATATGCTTAGACCAAGGAATAATAATAGTAAAATTATTCTAAACATAGTTGCACAGAAATAGCGAAAAATATTATTCTACAGTAAAATGATACTAACAGTAAATACACATATTGTTTGCATATACATGTTCTTTATACGTTTCGTTGAATCTGTATAGAATATTTGTTGCTTCCATTAATTACAAAGCCTTCGAATTGCAATTTCTTAAGCAGTTGTTTTTCTGTCATTGTTGAAAATTCTTACCTGTCTGTAATGAAGACTCCGCGTGATATCCGTTGTTCACCTTCCGATGCCACAATTTCTGGTGGTAAATGACCCTGACCAACGACTAAATGTTCCAAAGTCAATCTTTGTTTGCCACTAATGATAGCTTTACACTTTTCGTTATCTATTACTACACCATCAAGTTGTCTCTTCAGACAATACACTCCTCCAAAAACTGCACACAATCTATAAGTAATAAAAATTGCTATTTAATATCATACATAATGTGTAACTTTGTGGAACATATTAAATATGTGGGTCATTTGAAAAGTTCTCAGAACGTAGTCTAGATGACAACACAAGTTCTGAAATTTTTAATTCATTGAAGATTTTCATTTGTTATATCAATAACTGTAACGGTATTAAGTCAACTATACTACATAGTATTTTGTATTTAGCTGCTTGAACGAAAGTACGTTTACATAGTGTGTCGAATTCTATAAAATTAAAATTGGTCCAAGTGCACTGAAAATATTTTAAAAACGATATAAAGTATTTTTTCACTCGACTCCGAGAACTTTTAAAATGATCCACGTATTAATCCTTTACGGACAGAGCACGTCGAAGTTTGTGAGACTCATGGTCCTCGAAGGGTTAATAAAAACCCTGCAATAATTGTAATAACTTTACCTGCAGAAGCACTGAGGCAGTTCTCCACTACCATACATAGGCCACAAAAAAGGTGTGCTACCATATCGTCCAAGGCTGTTAAGAAAATGCTTTGTGCGATTTACACCATCTCTACAAGATGTCTTATCAGTGGCCATTGCAATTGCTTCAACTATGTAATGTTGCACAATTGGTGTCAAACTCTTTGTATTTAGATAGTCTAGGAACGTCTTGTCCTGGAATCCTATGAATATAATTCATGAATTTATGTAAACAACTAATATAAAATCAGATTACAGATTATTTTATTGAAAAATTGTATTAAGTATTGCAATGATATTTGCAAATTAAAACAAACTTTAAGTGAACTAATGAAGAATATGTACATATATGTGTATAGATGTATAATTACCATCAAATTCTGGGCTATCAGCTCCTTGCACCATGCATGAAGTGAGCAATTTCATAAGCATTCGTTTTTCGACAAGGCTAACAGTTTTATTTGCAAATACGTCAGTCCTTGAACAAGGTACTTGTGTCAGTTTTCCATCCATGAACGTCGCCACTCTGGACACTGATCGAAATTCCGCATAACGAGAGATATTACTGGAGATCAATAACTCAACAAGTTCACCTCGTGCAAACAGCAACTATTACAGGTAAATAAAATTTGGATCAGTAGGCATCCAGTAGTTTAGTAAACATTGATTTAAAAAAACCACTCCATTTATCTAAACAAGAATCACAAATGTACCCATATTCCACTGTAAGCGGAAATTCCAAAAATCTTGTTTTTCTCTTCCAGTAAAACTAAGGATTGTTTAAATTACAGTATGTTTCAAAACAACTAACAAATATTTAAAACAATGAATTGTAGTGATTCAAACTAATATATGTATATATATTTTCAGACTTCTCAACCTAATAAATGTAGTTAACCGTGTATGTCTTAAAGTAAAATAGAATTAACTAACAAAATAAGGTAAGATAATTTTTTTGGAAGATAGGAACCAAAAAACTCAATTTATTATTACTTTTTTAAATTCTGTTATTTAACATCTATATTTAATCCATCGGATTTCAGAAAGCATCTTACATACTGAATGTAGAATTCAAAATAAAATACTTATTAAATTATTTAATAAATACATCCCTCGACAAATTTTAGTACATATATTAAATGTTTTAATTTTTGTGTACGCTGACAAGCACCCATTTCTTATATTCAGTTTATAATTTATTAACTTCTTGTTATACCTTTGGTGCCAAATCGATATTGAATTTTCTGTATTCTTTTCTTATACGATCTATACTCCAGTGTTTAACATTCTCTTTTTTATCAACCTTATCCTCGTCTGTTTTCTCATCTCCACTACCACTGCCTTCCCCAATATTATCGGTTTGAGTATCTTTAGAGGAAACCACTGGCAGATCAGCTTCACTATAACCGAAAGGCAGCTTCATTTCTGAATTACATTAAAGCAATAGTATAAAGAGTATTTTAAAATAAAAAAAGACTTACTTTGAAATATACCAAGTTTCTTCAATATTTTCAACAGTAGAATATTGATCACTAGCTTTTAAGAACTTTTCTTCAGGTTGCAAATCTATTCCAGACACATCCTTAGTATTATTCTTTGAAATTTTCAAATCTTCTACCCACTTTTGTAGACCATCAAAATTAAATGTTGCCCAAAGGCCACCATAATATTCATTACTGAAAACCAAGTTTTTAATGAAATTTAGAAACAACAGTGCAGTAACATCATTACATTTGTTACATAAAATATCTTTATATAAGACATTTAAATTATTAACATATTATTTGTTGCTAAATAAAGGCATAACAAGTGAGGACTTTCTTTGTGTTTAATATTTTATTTTTATACAGAATAGCAAGAATATCTTAATTTCTTTTGTACACTTTCAACTGGAATGGTGGCATTTTCATTATACATGCTTATTAATTAAACCATAAGGCACTATGGAAAAATCTACATTGATGAAGGAAATATTTCAGATGATATGGTTAAATGGAATATGCTGTATATTTTATTTTTTCTACAACTGCTTTTAAAGAGAAAGAAACTGAAAAATGAGTAAATATTAAATGTTTAAAGTATATTTAAATGCAATGTCTTTAAAGCATTAAACAATATCAATTTAATTTTTTTATCTGTTTATTATATGAAATGTATATATACATGTAATACGTCCTGTTTTTACGAGGAGTCAATGAAACTAATTATATTTATGTACAACTATTTTTTTTCATTATACAGTGTATCTTCGATGAGTGTTCATAGGCTCCTCGGCAGTAACAAGGAGAAATCTCAAGGTGTAATGCTGACTTTTTAATGAAGTTTAACACAGTGATAACACTTGGAATTCTGAAGCAAATGATATTTGTTTCAACCGCTTATGGCCATCAGTTTGTGAAATATTTAATGTTCAGTGGCAAGGAGCCTTCAAACACTTATTGAGGATTTACTGTAGTACTGTTTATTTGATTACATTATGTTTATTTGATTGCCATGTTGAACGTTTCTTATTTGTATGGCAACAAAAATTTATTTCTATATAAATCAAGTCTATATTTAATTGGAAAATGTTATAAACAGCATTCCCATTCATATTTTCATTAGAAATGCAATATCTTATGAGAAGATACATTTATTTATATAATACTTTCACATTTTTATTTACCATCTGGTAGTAGCAGATTGGAATGCATTGTATATGCACAATGAAACTTTCGAAATTTATTACCAGAACTAATATTCTGAGGTATTTGTACAAAATTTATAATTAAATATTGGACTAACAAGGTATGTAGTTTTTAAAACAATTTTGCACAAGTATATGTGTATATCAAATATTTTGTATGCTCTGATGTACTGTAAAGAAGAAAATGAAAAGTAGAAAAAAAATAAAGAAAAAAGCAATTGAACAGGAAGGACAGAGAGGCAGGAGAAAGAGACAGTGAGATTAGCAGAGAGAAGAGGATAGACAGAGTCTGACATACCTGTCTAGGTGAAGGACCTTTTTACCGATTCTACTCGCGGCTGCAGCGACAATGGACTCGGTCATACCTGCAAAAAATTATCGAACAATTAGGCACATCGAAAATAAAAAAATTATTAAATAAATGAGACATATATTGGAAAAATCAATACCTGTCCCGACGACGATGACATCGTACTCAGTCGGCAGATCGTCTTCCATGGCTTCCAGTTGCAAATATGCGATAGATTAAAGGATTCCGAACACAAGTAGTATCAATAGTACTCCGTGACAGAATTATTAAGAGATCAATTCATTTCTATCAGATTTCGTCAATTATGCTGAACGAAGGGCCACTCCCGTCGTTTCGCTTTCGCTCTGAACTTTCACTGTTTCACGACGACACACTCGAAACTCCAGTTTGACAGAACAGGATGCAGCAGATCGTAGCGGAACTCAACGCTGATTCGTCGAAATTTGGTCTCCGAAAACAACACACTAGATACTGCAGTCATTGGTATTTTATGAGTATTTTCATATACATATATAGGGTGTCCGAAAATAGGTGTAAGTCCTTGAAATGGGTGATTCCTGGGGTGATTTGAAACAACTTTTTCCTTAGCGAAAAAGCTTTCCGGGGCTTTGTTAACGAGATATTAACGAAAATCTCGAATAATCAAAATCATGAATCTAACGGCTGTGCTCCCCCGCTAGTGCGCAGCCAACTCATTGCGTATTCAGAATGATACAAAATATTTATTTGACTCAGTCCTGTATCGGTCGTCCAGAAAAGTTGTTAGAAGGAGGGTACGTTAATAAGATATATTTTATTATTTTTGCAGATTTGTGTATATATCATTTAAGAACAAACCTATTTGCCGTATACAAAAGTCACCAAACATCTTGACAATTCCCTATAATATAATGTTAAAGCATAAACTTGCTCGATTCACATTGTAAGGCGTAAATCAGAGTAAATGTATTATTATTTAGAGTCTTTATTTGTTAATAAAGTAACAATTGTGTGAATAATAGATACATTTCTTCTATATACATAAATAATAATTTAATAGTAATTTTATCATACAAACTTGTCTGTCTAAAAGAACTATCAAAATTACTATTTAAATACTTATTTGATATAATTTATTGGCTTGATGGGCTCGTGGAGAAAGTTTATGATCCCAATACTTATATAATGTTATTTATAATATTAGTAGTATAATACTATTTAAAATCATAATTTACAATTAATAATTTGAATTGCGTGTAAAGATTCAAATTTTTTAAATTTCTGACAGAAAGGTAACATTCAAATTCAAATCATGGAAGTACAAAATGTATTTTATCAACCTAGGTAGTAATTCTTAATAAATGTTTGAACATTCTTCCTAACTATTAAATAACCTGCATCCATCTAGTGAGTAATTGAAAATTGACACAAAAACATTTGTTACAAGTTTAAACATAATTCTATTCAAATCACATGCAAATTACAGACTATAGTTTAAGGAGTTAAATTATAATCTTAAATAATTTAGGAAACAATCTGGGAAACAGATTTAAACCAAAATATGTAAAACGTTATGTATTTGGGTAATTGTGGAAATCATTTTATATTGAAATAAGTACTCCTATATAATTTATAAAAAAAAATGGCAAAGCATGATTAATTTAAATGAAAGAACAAATTGTTATATAAAACAGGTATACGTTTTTTTTACATAAAGATACACATACAATAGATTATCTCTAAACACTGTCTTAGGTCAAATTTGTTAGTCTAAACAAAATTGAAATATTTTCGATTAAATTGTAACGAGTTCAGACAAAATTAAAATTCCTTTGAATAGAGTATAATTTTTCACGTTAGTTATTTCTTATTAAATTACTTAGTAATGTACAAATTTATGAGAAGAGGACTAAAGAGTAATAAGGAATATATACATAAGTGAATTTTAATTTCCACGATCATATCCCCAAACTTTATATAATGTAACAAAACTATAAATGTAACAAAATATACGAACTAATAAATAATTAACATAGTCAAGTTTCTTTTTATCTGAACTTTTTTAATACTGTTACAACAGTATTGTAAAGAAGCGTTTTAGCATCTCTACCCCACAAGTAATCAATATGATTAAATTTTGAATATTCAATTTTTCGTGTCTCTATAACATTTGGCAGTCTATCAACAAGTTTTTTTACATCTGCAGGGTCGGTTAGAAAATCGTTCTCGCTATAAAATATTACAACTGGTGTTTTTGCTTTCTCAAGGTCGTATTTTGGCGGTTGTGTTGATCCGTAAATTTTTAGGTTCTCAGTCGCACCGTAATCAAATTTACGAAATGATCCTGTTAAAAAAATAATGTCATATAAGTTATGTACGAATTTTCTGTAATAAAAAATGATTAGTTTATAGGTTGAAATGAAAGAATATTTAACCAATACGTGATTACCTGATAATATACTTTGACTGTAATGAATGATCTGTTTCGCTGAAGCACCCGCTGGAAAATGTGCCAAGATTAATGGCAGCATAGATTTGTCTAACTGATCACTACCGAAACCGGCGATCAAGTAAAACCAACATACACAGAAACCTTTAGTAAGGCTACCTGGAGCATTTCGCATTATTGTACCCAAAGCCCGCGCCTGTAACCTATTGCGGGGGAACCACTGATGTACATTGCAATAAGAAGATCCCCACTGAAACATGCTCATTATAGATGTGTCAACTGAAAATATTGGGTAATCCCCTGACCAGAGGTGGATTTAATTATACATGTACAAGTTTGGAACTTAAGCTTTGAATTTTCATGGAAATACAATAAAAATTCATTTGAAATTACTGCAAGGATACACAAATAGAATGTTTCTATTTCTGTATCATATCTATATACTTTTGTTAATTTTGGTTTACGAGATACTAACATTTTTTTAAAAACTATTCAAGTTATTACTATACAATAGAAATAATTTTTGTATGAATGCCACAAGTCTGACATGTGTTTTCACATACAAATTTAATATCTAGAAAATAAACGAATTTTTGTTGTACTTAAATTTGGAAGCAACTTAGCCACCTCTGATCATAATTGAAAAGTATTAGATATATTTATGCATGTACCTCCATTAGTCCATAAAAATGAACAATAAGTTTGAGTAACGGACTCCTCTGATTTGAAAGAAATGCTATTGGTGCCATACTAATCATTCCTTTAATCTTGTGAGTATATTCAGATTTTTCGCTAGCCATTACATAGAATGCAGTTGTACCTTGACTGTAGCCTACATAGTAGAGCTCTTTATATCCTGTGTGGTCTAAAATGTAATCTATTGTTGCTGGTAAGTCATAATAACCAACTTCGTGCCAGCTAAAAGATTAGTGGAATTATTCATCTATCAATTAACGCAGTAAATTTTCATACATATCCGTTTATACACCTTACATTTACTTTTATTTATCTGCATCTTACAATTACGTTTATTTATCTTAAAGTAAAAATTACCTGAAATCCCAAAATTCTTTGTCTTTGGTTGTATATTTCTTATGCTTTTTAGCATATGTATTACCCCTTGCGTTTCCCAACCAGACATCATATCCATTGTCATATAAAATATATGCTAAAGCTTTCTTTGGACCCAGCAGTACCCAATCAGCTGAACTTGACAATAGTCCATGATGAACAAGGATTGGTATACGAGCCTTTGCAATTTCATTTTAATATAAATGTCACTTTATTATAATTTTATTTAATTTAAGTGTCTTTTAACTCTTTTACTAGAACAAAGTTTATTTGTAAACATTCAAAATGAGTGTATAAAATGAAAGCCAGCATTTCATTGCACTGGATATTTATTAAGTTATACTAATACAAGAGATTTATAATTCAATTATTATGTAGTAGGTTATCAATAAGTCAAGGTAAACCAAGGTAGTAAATTTTATCTATGAAAAGAGTTAAATGTCATATGTGGTTAACTTTATGACTGCAAATATTATGGTAATTATTGTTGAAACATAATTTGAAGATAACTCCGATACCTCCTTTGTTGTCCTATCATTTGGCTTATTTACTTCATTCTCACTAAGATCACATGAATGATCGCATGTTTTTGGAGTAAGAACTCGATGTACATCTAAACAATATCCATCTTCAGTCCAAATATAATGTGTCTCTGCTGTATAACCATGAGCATGAATAAGTTCAGGCTAAAAAATAATATGATACATAACATAGATTTATAAAATATAAATACGAAAAATTACTAGATAGTTAAGTAAAAACAAAACATAAAATTTTTGTATTGTACAAGAATATTTAATGAAATTATGGCGCTTCATAACATAATCAATCTATACAATTGTTTTTTCCTTCATTTTTGTAATGACAACTTGCATTAATTCTGATTAAAGAGAAAATATATTTCCGTACTATGATACCAATATAAAATGGTAAAGTAAAATGTGGGAAACAATAATTAAAGTAAAATAAATTTTTAATTATCATCAAATAGCATACTGGAGAATAAAATGTATCTATTTCGATGGATCATTAGTAATCTAAAATCGTTTCGAAGTTTATCTTAGCGCTTCTACCCAGATAGCACATGACGCCTTGAAGACACCCATTGTACGGCTATTTTAGGTCTAAGGCGCCTTTAAGTCGTCTTCAATGTGTCGTGTCCTATCTGGGTAAAAATCGCAATTGCGAATAAGCAATTTTAAAATAAAGAAAGGGAAAGAACATACTGTTGTCATATGAATCTCATCCTGATTGGTTACTGCGCTCATTATATGAGCAAATGACGAAAGAAACTGATTTCTGTGACTGAGAAATATCGTCTAACTTTCACCAGCAATTACTCCTTTTCCTCCTGCTATTTTCTTATATCTTTGACGTCGTTTTTTTCAAGTATTGATTAAACAAGAAATAAATAATTTGTCAAGATTTGACGGGGGGGTATTATATGAGCGTCGAAAGATCGAGAAACATCGAAATGATTTCGCGCCGTTCAATTCTTCGAAATATAACTCGCACGAACAAACCTCTTGACACAATCCTAAAGCGCACCGCGCAATACTGTCGAACACTGTCGAACGAATGCTGTCGAATGTCAAAGTTGGCGAAGTGGCGTAGTGAAGTGGCGAATGCATAAGCTGACGGAACAAGAATGATTCACGCGCATGCGTACTAATTTCATAAATTTTCCCATTAAATGTGTCATGTGTGTACACTACATATTCGATAAAATTAAAAAAACATTTCCTGATCAAAAAGCTTTGAATTATGTATATCTAATATTAAAAACGAAAATAACATTTTATGCTTTAAACTGGAATTAAAATTCTTCTTTCTTGTAAGAAAAGTACATTCTGTAATAGTATATCGGAACAGAGTATTTTTACTCATTTTTCTTGTTGAATACATGATTGACAATAATATTGTTAAATTACGCGCTCAAGAAAATTGAACACGACGATGCATTACAATTAGGTCTACATGGGCCTATCCTTCTACCTCGTCTGTACTCTGTGGTAGAGATTCGTTTCCGTTCGTGTCATATGATCAATTTGTGAATTGATATTGAACTGCGGGGAGTGTCTCAAATTCGTGGTTCTCCCGTTTAAAATAACAATGTTGAAACTATTTTTCTGTTTCGTAGCTGTTTTGGTTACAGGTATTATTTTCGTCTAAACTTTATGATATTATTGAAATATGGTTTTATAGTGTCCGAATAATTAAAATACTTACGAAAGTATTGTCATTTAATATAAATCGAAGTTGTCTTTTTTGTTAATTGCAGTGAATGCAACCGGAGATTTGGTAATTTTCCATTCTCCAGACAGTGTATTATTTCACGGGAATGATGAAGTTGAACAGAGCTTGCTTACAGAAGTATTTACTGCGGCTTTGGGTTACACTGCTAAACTGGTTAGTCTTTCATATTCCTTTGTTAATACTAAAAATATAATGTTACAAGTTTTAAATGCAGATTATTATTATTATAGAAAGGAACATGGAGCTGTATGTCCATCACGAATCCATTTGGACTTCCAGAAGCTGTGGTTGCGGAAGTTATTGAAGGAGTGGATTCTTTGGATATACCAAAAGCCATTTTAGATACATCAAAAAGGTTTCCTCTAAATGTTAATGAGGGTGAGGAAACCACATGGCAGGCTTTTAGACAACGTCTTGATGAAAGAGACGATGATAATACTTTAGTAAGAATATCCTTAGGCGATGGTGTTGATGCTGTGAGTACTTTAACAGAATAATGATACATATAACTGATGTCTTTGGAAAATAAATATTGTAACTGAAACTAAAATAATTTCTATTTATTATGAATTTAGTTGGGACAGTCTGCTCTTGGAGAACTGAAACCAACTCCTATCGATGAAACATCTTTAAAGGTATTAAATCCAGAGAAAAAAGAAGATAAGGAATTCCTCGAAGAAGTGCAATTGCTACATGCCATTGCAGAAAAAGTACTTTCTGCAACTAAACCAGATTCAAAACCTGATATTTATTGGCTAGTTATATCTGGTTTGCGTCCAGTTTTTGATGCCTATGGAAGCAATTCAACTGCTTCTCAAGAAGCTCTATCCTTGCTGAACAATGCCTTGAATGTTGTTCGTGATGCATTTATTCAGGCTTATGATGGCAAGGTACGAATGTGTTCTTATCAGTAACATGTTGAACTCAAAGTTTTGTGATTATTACATATTTATAAAGAAATGCAGCACTGCAAGTTTAATTTCGTGTTCGGATTATTGATTCTATATATAGTCAATAATGTTTTAATATAGGTATTAATTGCGGCCTTCACAAATGATGCAAGTAAGGTACATCACATCCGTTCTGTCACTCTGGAAAGGCAAAGACGAGATACTACCACGGTTCGTATTTGAAATTACATATAACATATACAACAAATTTATATTAATGATTACTAAAGAATTTAACACATACATTTATTGTTAACACATCATTAAAAGTCAAAAGCAGATAGTATATTGAAATGTCATTTTGAAAGACTATATAAATGATTTATTAATATACTCAATACACTTTTATAGTAAACAATTTTTGCTCTTACATAATTATGTATTTAATCAGCTTAATCTATAATTACATTCAGAGTTCAGTGTGGGTATAATTTAATAGAAATTAATTAACAATCTTCTAGGGAAATGCAAATGAAATTCTACTTGCCGTAAAATGTGTTGTATTTTAGCTTTTGGAAAAGCTCCTGATAAAGGTGACAGATTGTATCTACAATTCACTCACATTCTGCACCTATCCAACTTATTTATTAGTTGGAATATAATTCAATCTGTTTTCATAGAATAGACGTGACAGATACACTGTTTAGAATGTTTTATATAATTTCATAGTACATATGTACTATACTGTCCACTAGGATCGATATTAGGGTACATCGTGTTTTGCAATTGCTTACTTTTCATACAGCTATTGAATTTTGTGACAGAAATGATGTCATACATGCTTTTAATACATGCGAACAGTAACATTCATATGCGAAGACGATAAAAGTTGTATCAAATTGTTAATGACTGTGTCTAACACCTATATCTTTTATAGGATAATAAGATTAAAAGTGTAGGATCTACTTTGGAACTTAAACAGCTGTACAATAATACAAATTTTAATAATAATAATATTGTAATTAAGGTATGTTAACATTACTGCATGGACAAATATTTTATCAACAGTGGGCAAATATTTTTAAATTAGAGATAGCATCTTGCATGACTTCTAAAGATGTTCTTAAATTATGCAGTATAATATTTGTGACTCAGTACTTCAATATATTTTCTTTGTTCTGTGTGTTAACAACTCATTAACATCGAAATATAAATTTAGAATTGAGAAAAAGCACATTTTAATACTCGAGCTTTTCGTGTTTCCTTCCGCACTGCTTTCAAAATACATAATTAAACCACTTTGATAAATTTAACTGTTACATTCATTAAGCAAGGTATCTCGAAACTACACTAATTTGCGAAGGTACAAATAAAGCTTTCAATACAATGCAAACATTTACTATTCAGCGAGACTACAGAATACAGCAGGTGAAACTTATAAAAATTTAATGCACAAAAAATTATTTTTCATAGATTTTTTTTCAAAATTATTTAATGTTTTGAAACTTCAGACTTACATTTTACAAGGTCTTTTCACAAATTCTTTTTGTAATTGATTCATACAATAATCACTGAAATTATTAGTAATAGAAGAAAATCTAAGAAAATATTAACTAAATATCGATTAATAGAAGAAGAGGTAAAGACATTTTAAAATATACATATATTTTAATTAATTTTGTAAAAAATGTTTATTGTTGTCATATATCTGTAAAGAATATATCGTTTCATGATTCTCAAATTATTTTATAATGATTGGCTGTCACAGTGTTTCAATTACATATTCTTTTTCAATATCCTATGAAAATTTATTTTAGTATATAAACCGTTTTTAAATAAAAGTGTTAAGGAAAAAGTCTGAAAAAATGTATATATGTAAGTAAAAGTTTTTTTTAGCTAAAGCCTAAAGTATGATATTCATATTATTTATTTAGAAAAGTATCATTTTATTACAAATGATGTGACTTATTTATTTCAGGATTTTAGAGTAAGTCCTATGATTTGATGAGAAAATGATAATCGAAATAGTAGTAGCAGATATGCTATGAAGAAATGTACGGTGATATATTACAAGTCTGTGTATTTCAATTGCTAACCGTTTAGTAGAATATATTTTGTAAGCAATGGTTTCAATTTGATAATGGATTGATTTATTATGTACACGAATTATTTCACTTTGTTAGTAAAATATGTTTTATTTTATATAGAATTGTGTGATCTTATCATACATTATAACCACCGCGTTATGTATAGACATTATACTGTAAAACATTCAGTTACTTTGAAGATAGTTTTTTTAGTTACGAGTCTGTACATACAAAAATTGATCAATTCTCATAGTAAGTAGTAGCCATAATGAGGTACACATTTAACACATTTAAGCTCAATAAACAATGATAGAGGACAGCATAAAAATGTTATTCGTGATACAGTTTGCGTAAAAATTTGTGGTACACGTGATAACGGGTGATTTCTCTTGTAAAAAGAAACTAAAAGTGTAGAATAAATTTTTTCATACGAGGCTTTGTTTTTAAGAGAAACGACTTGGAAATGTCATTCAGTACACGTTTATTCGTGCTGGCAATAACTAGAAATGCGTAAGTCAAGGTATGTTCACTGGCATGCATATGTAGTAGATGTTCAAATTCGATTATTTCGGAAACGAAGCCTTGCATGAAAAAATGTTATTCTATACTTTTGTCTTATTTTTGCATGAAGAATCACCCTGTTCTCGCGTGTATCACGAATTTTGCCGCACCCTGTATATTAATATACATACTGTGTGTTTATACTTTACTTTAAAACACTAATAATCCTCGCCAATAATTATATTTCATACACAATACAAGATGTACAACTACTGTGATTGAATAGGTTTGGATTATCTTGAGATTTGCAACATAAGTTGCTTACATAAATACATGTACTTATAGCAAAATGATCAACAAGGTGAAGACAAAAAAATAGAAGATGAAGAGGATTCAAACACAAATAATAATAGCACTAGCGAATCCAACAGTGACACAAGCTTCACTACTGCAAATAGTCATAGCGGAGTCACTGAAACTGATCAGGATTTGACTAATACGGAGTATGACATAAACTCTAACACACTTATAGGACAGGTATCACAAAGACTTTAACAAGAAATTATCTATGTACCCCATTTATTTTAGCAGTTTATTTCAACGGAAAGAAATATTCTTTAGTTTTATGCTTCGTTAACATAAGAACTTAGTATTTTATTGCTAGCGATTGTTTTTTTGCTAAAACATTTATTGTACAGGATGTCCAAAAAAATTTATATGAAATCATGGTTGGAAATATAGTGTTATTAAAAAGCAGACAAAAATATATTTTTCTTTTAAATGAGACGCTGACATAAAAACTTATCAAGTAGTTTTTACATCTGTCTGTATACATTTTATTTGGTCAATATTTATTTTTAAATTTATATTAGATAAATATTGGAATAAAAATATGAAATATATTACAAACACATTCACAATAATATTTCACATGTTAAAGATATTTTTCCAGGAGTATTTTAAAGGATGTAATGCCTTTTTACAGAAGAGAAAACTGCAGGAGGACAATGATTTACTTTTAAACTGTCAATATCTTCTAATTAATTAACTACACATGTACTCAAACTGCTGAATGCACTATATAAATGTAACAATATATATTTTGGACATTCTATATACAGGACAAGTTACCTATGGTTGAAATTGTAAGCATTTCTGTTGTGCTATACTTAAGGTATACTTATTGGATTCAGAATATAATACAGAAAACGTTTGTTGCCAGGATTAGAGTTTTTAGAAGTTTCTAACATTTCAATTCTTTTTAACATAAAGAGGGAGAACAAAGTAGGATAAATTTAAACATATTATATATTTGTAGATTTTAAAGCGTTAGAAGTGTTTATACTTATAGTTAAAAAAATTTGAATTTTGTTCATATTGCTTAAGATAGCATAGTTGTGTACAATTTCAAACTTAGGTGGCTCAACTTGTGTTATAAATATATTATATTATGTTCGCTTATAAAGCAATGCTTCTTACTATTTTTAGAAGTAGTTGTTTTTTTAGGATAAAAGGTGTACTATGCATGAGCAGTGTGACACTATATTATTCGATGATGTGCATGATATAATGTAATGCGAACAAATTCGTTTGCAAAACAGAAATCATAATTGTATTAGAACTATTGAATTTAAATACTTACATAAAAACTTCACGAAATATCTGTTAAATACATCATTTTGGACATTATACATTATTTTTTTTTTCGCTAAAAGCATTAACTATAGCCGACGTTTGTTGAAACACAACTTAATATATATACGATATTTTACTCTCTAAGTTGTCAGTTTTTGTTGTTAGTAATTATGAATTTGTATAAATCAATCATTTTGTAACCGGTCTGTTATGCAATGTTATTAAAAATTTACTTGCTGGAAGAAATACAAAATGTCAGTAGTTACGGTAATACTCAAAAGAAATTAACGTTGTTAAAGCTTTTACAGATGTGAGCGGTGAGCAACATAGTTGATAATGTATATTATTCAGGTTTTCTTTTTGTTTACACCATTGTTATGCGTTTAGGGCATCAATATATTCTTTCCACTAACAAGTGCATAATATATTACCATCTAATCACTTTGTACTAAATTTGTGTATTGTATTTTCTGCACGTTACTGACCGCTTGGTCACAGAGTAGTGCTTCACAGATAATGTCCCTTGCATTGAAAGGGTTAAAATGCTAAAAGCTTTCGTATTTTAGGCATTAAGAAACCTAGAATAAGTTTAACAGGCATATTAAGTACTTGAAATTATTGTAGTTTTAATAACGCTACGTTACATTACGGTCAGAAATATCAAGATTTTTTGTTTCAGGGAGAATTCCAGAATCTTGCGAAAAAATATTCACCGAATTATCCAATCATGTTTAACATCTTTTTGTGGTTTGGAGTTATTTTTGTTTTTTCACTCCTCGCTATTTGCAGTACGTAATAATTTAACCATTTGCTTAACTGATGGGTATATTTAATTATGCTCTAATTTGTTTTCTTTACAACTACAGTTGCCATTTCTGAAATGGATCCAGGACGTGACTCCATAATATACAGAATGACATCCAATCGTATGAAGAAAGATAATTAAGTGTAAATAAAAGTTAACAATATTCGAATTAATACAGTTTCTTTATACATGTAAACTGTACTTAAACCATCAACTTTACTTCATGAAGACTCATAATTGTACGGCAGCAATATAACAGCTACTGTAACATATTTGTATGCACAGTAGTTGTATCATGTATAATGTGAACAATCCATTTAGTATTCTGTTGTTGTATATTTTATAGAATTATTACGTAACCGTATGGTATCCGTGTATAGCAATGTGTACAAATATATTTACTGTAATTTAAGTTTAATATAAGTAATTGAAGATGGTAGTAAAAGTCAACACATGTTAAGTGTACAGTTACTAAATAAAATTATAAGGACTACATATGGTTTAAATTCTTAATATTAGAAATATCTTAATTATTGTAATTATAAAAAACAAAAACAAATATTTCAGTTATGTATTATTGGTTAATTTAATGTTTTTATTGGTACTTTGATTTATATTACCGTATAATCAATATTATACTACTATATATTATTAAATATAATAAATGTTCCAGTTTTAGTTACATTAGTAAACATTTTCCATTTACATTCAATTTTTTACTGCTCTTTTGGTTAATATTTCCATTTTGAAAAGAGAATGTCATGATGAACACTTCAGTTCATTTTTTTGAACCAGAGATTGGTTTCATTAGCAGTAAATGGTTTTCAGTGCATATGCCATACAATATTACTCTTTAAAGTAACCACTGTAACGAAATAAACTCACACAAATATTAACATTTTTTTAATACTAAAACTTGCACTTTAGGAATGAAAAATATGAAATAATCACTTGCTTAAAATCTGAAGTCTAATTATATGTGGAAACAATTAGTAATAGATAGGGCTGTAAAGTTCGAGTACTAATAAAATTTTCAAAATTACATCCTATTTCATAATAGTTTTATTCTACATTCTCAATTTAATTGTATACGCATATGTATAGAATCATCTCCTTGGTTTAATCACGAAATACACTTTTTTTGAATACACACCTTACACAATACCAGAATGATGTTTAGGCATATAGTTATTGCTGTTTCTATAAGTAATTATAAAGTACTTTGAATAATTATAAATGACAATTATTTGACGTTTAATTAAAAATTGATCAACAACAATCGACGCCTAAATCGAAGTATTGCCGTGCAACAAAATTAATTTTTTTACGAAATAAATATTAGCCGAATAATATTGGATCTTCATGGGGTACATTTGTAATATTTTATGTCTGATTTATAAGGTAAATGGAAGTGGTGCGTAATATCGTGTATTGTATCTATTAGATGTGTATTGTGCGAAGTATATTCTGGTACGAGGAACTGTGTTGCTTCTGATAGTTTATAGTTGCTTTCAATAACTTTCCAGTATTTATTAACAATTGTTGTATCAAATTATATTCGCGTTTTTTCATAAAAAGGGAACAATTTACACCATTTGAGTGAATTCAACTGAGATTTCAGTGTCCTTTTATAATTTCAAAATGGCCGAAAAAATCGTAACTGTTGCAATGAACTTGTAACATAAACAAAACGAGAATATTTTTAGGTATTAACAAATTTATTGGAGGATAAATATGAAGTTACTACAACACGTTGAATAATTATTTAAATGACGACTTTTTAAAGAATTTTCGGGAAAATTAGAAGAACGTGTTCGATTTGTTTTTTATTTATTTCTTTGCACCAGAAGAAACACAACTAATGTATTTTTTTTAAGAAACTTATCTTCAAATGAAAAGTATACATTCTTAAAAAAAACAAATATTCAAGGTATCTGATTCACTTATTCAAAAGTACTAATAATTGAAAATAAAGTTCCAAAATAAATTATTTCACACCATTATTTCTTATTTTCATTTCAAATCAAATTTGCCCAGGTCTGGTACGGTCACGTACGAACAGTACCGTGTGTCGACTCCTTCGTCGAATATCGAATTCCTGCAGAAAGCGAAAGAAACGGGGGGAGATCAGTTTTATACCTCTTTGCTGCACGCCGTCGGAGGTATACACAAGCCCCACCTTCACCGTCCCCACCCAGCTATAGTTCTGGTTCCTCGCGGAGCGGCAACACCTGTCGTTACTACAGCGAACCGTGGGTGCTTTCTGTCAGTTCGCATTCAATCTGGCTTGACATACACACAACACCGGTGGGATAGTATACAACGCTCCCGTGTTCGCTGGTGACTTTTATCGCCCCTATCAGACCCATTGTGTACAAAACAGTGCGCGATACTTTGCACACATTGTTTCTTCTCGCACGACGACTGGCAGAACGGGGAACACACTTGCAGCAATTGTTCTCCGATTGGTTCGCGTGCAAGCATGGTTTAATCGGGAACTGTTTAAACAGATGACCAAATATTTGACAATCTATCCAAAATTGCATGTTGTTCTCGTATTATCAATGAAAATTCGTCAGGTGTCATCGATACACTCTGCTCGTTTCGGGTTCACCTGTTACGCGAAGTGACACGGCGCGTAGGTGTTAGCACGTGGTAAGACGCGTCTGTTACCTCACAGATAAAACCGATCGATTCTATATTAACGGCTACAAAATAAAATAACGTTCTTCGATCTGTTAAAAAAAAATCAAGTTCGCTCATATTTCATCGTTGACAACTGCGTCGGTGTTTCAAAAAACTCACGGCGCTGATCGCACAGACGATGAGTCAAGTTTTCAAATGATATGAATAAAGATTACTTCTAACGGACTAAAAAAAAAACACTATTCACGAAGCGCTGTTATCTTCGAGGTAACTCTAAGTCGTGTATTTTCGAAACCGTGGAGAGATAATTGCGAAGCCGTCGTGCACCCGCGGTTGCGCTGAGGCGCGTTCGTGAAATGAAGTCGTTGATAAAGAAAAACAGAGTAAAACAACAAGCCACCACGACGTAGGTGAAGAGAGAAGTACTCGAATACGTTGCACAGTGATCACATAACGTATCTACGACAGTATGAATCTACCTAACATAGCTGTAAAACGTTTAAATTCTACCTGACATTTCATACATTCGAATGTTTCCTGTTCGTGGTTTTCGGTTTCCACCGTTGCGTTCGGTCCCAGCTGAAGAATCGTTGGGGATCCTCTAACCCCGCGTCATTTGGATCATTTACCAGGGGGGTCTCGACAGCACAACACTACAGCGTATGGTGGCCGTGTGGACGCAGAATCGTTTGCTAGCCGGCAAATATGCTCGTCGAGGAAATCGTATGCATATTTCGTGAAACGACCATATCGTCCTTAATGACGCGCTATCTGTTCTGGTTGTCCATATCGTGGAGAAGCCGGAGGCTCGGGGCTCGTAACTTCGGCTTTACGTAATACCGTTTGTGCGACGACCAAGTTTCTTTCAAGGTTATGGCACGCAGGAAACGTTCCTTCTAACGAGACCGGCACACACACACACGGTGGCGGGGCCCAACGAAAATCACGATTAATAATCGGTAGCCCCCGTGGACACGTCGACGGTCACACGTCCTCTTCCCGCAGATCGAGGATCATCTGTTCCGGGCAGTGCTGCCGCCACGGGACTTCGAGACGGTTCACTAGCGATTCGAGACGAAATATCGATGTGACATTTTTGCGAGAAGCGATAACACGGAATTGTTGCGTGCAGCCGGTCGCAAACATCGAACCGTACTGTCTCGATGGGAATATCGTAAATTATTCTCTAGAGACACGTGGCAACGTGATAATTTATACTCCTTATATCTGCGCCCATGCAAATGTATTAACTAAAGGAGCATGATTATATGTCGTTATGATCGAGGAGGATGTAAATGACGGACCCGATTCGTCGATATCCACGGTACATCGAGAAGATCCTACTAGATGATACGAACGTTTGCTTCGAACTTATAGGACATAGTATGTCGGTATGGGTTTTGAATAATCCGTTTCACGAAATACTTCGACAAGTCGAGAAAAAAAAATCGATCTCGAGAAACGTTTCGGTAAATAGTGCCAACAGATAATTATGGAATCTGGAGTGAAAAGGATCCTGGAAATACGGCCCTACTTGTTTAACACGAAACGTTGTTATTGTAACTTTACGGCTCGCGATTGGGAGGATATTGTTAATACCAACGATATCGTGAGAAAGTATTACATCGATTATATTTATTTCGAACGACGGTTCTGACGTCGAGTTCGTTCGGTCTGATAAAGTGAGTTACACACAGATCGAGCCTTAAAAAACGTCGAAGTTTCATCGAAGCTGCACTGGACAATCTTCTAATGGTTAATTCGATGAATCAGTGCGATCGTCTCTGATATTGAATCAGTAAGGAACGCGGTACGTGTGGCAGATAGCTTGCCGTTTTGAATTAATTCGCGTGGAACGTAACAAACGTTCTCCTAACGCAGAAGAGAAAAGGTTATAGGGGAGACCCGTTCCTCGCTGGTGGAGTTACTGCGCTTGATCGTTCGCAATTGCAGTCATATCTATCATCCGGTGAATTTCTGATCGTGACTAGACTGGTGGAAGTGGAAGACGGAAAACGAGGTGCAACGATGAGTGTCAGGGTCGTCGTAAGCGTGACGGAAATCGCAGACATGAATCCGAAAGATCGTTACGTGGTCGAAGAAATAGGTAAGCGCATACTTATCCTCTAATAACTGGAATACTTTGTTAGATAAAGACTGTTTTCATTAGATCACCTGTGTGCTTCCAACGAGGCAGTTACTCACGGGCGGTTGTCCCGCGTGTTATTCGCCACTGTAACTCTTCGTTTCATTTATCTTGAATGTACTTCAACCCTTATTTTCTTAACTTACATAGGAGCAGTACATTTGGAAATGGTGTACGAGGTGTGATCAAAGAATATTAACAACTTTGGTAATCTAAAAATTCTGATTTTTTGAAACTTTGTAGGTTTGTAGGGAACCGTAATAAAACTGTCGGGCAATTTCTTTTGCTGCTTTTTGGTTCTCTGGGCCGAAAACACCCCTTAAAGATTAATGTGTGGTTTCTTATTTCTCTGTATATCTTGAAAACTATAGTAGATATAAAAACATTGTTGGAGCGAAATTGAATGGCTTTAAAAAAATTTGTTTATTCATTTATTTATTTAAATAACAAATTTTTGACAATTTTATTGCGTAGTTCTAGATAGCATAAAAGTCATTAAATTTTCCTTGTAATAATTTTTTATATCTAGTATAGCTTTCAAGATATACAGAAAAATAGGAAAGCACACATTAACGTTTAAAGGATCCTTTTCACCTTGAAGAAACAAAAGGTAGCAAAAAAAGATTGTCTGATGCGTTTATCGAGGTCCTCTACAAACCAGTAAAGTTTCAAAAAAATGTGAATTTTTCTATTTGAAGTAAAACATATAATTCATGTAAGTTAAACAGTGACTGTACTATGCGAGGTAGTCCTTTGTTGATGATGTGCACCTGGTCGAACGTTCCTACGACTATTGAACACAATGATATAAATCCTTTTATGAGAATCTATTGAGGATTGATAAAAGAATACTAAGAATTTTTGTTTGAAATTTTGTTGAACGAAATTTACAATTCATGCAAGTTAAGCGCCGACAGTGCTCTTCAAGGTAGTCCTCTGCTGATTATGTGCACCTGGTCCAGCGTTCTTGCCATTCTCAAAAACATCATCGGAATTCCTTTTATGAGTATCTGTCGAGGAGTGATAAGAGAATACTAAGAATTTTTGTTCAAAATGAAACTCACAATTCACGTAAGTTAAACGTTCGCAGTAACCTTCAAAGTAGTAATTTGCTAATAATACGCCTTTAATTGAGCCTTCCTAGCAGTATTGAAAATATTGTCGGAAATCTTTTCATGAGAATACGTCGAGGGTTGATGGAAAAAATATGACGAATTTTATTCACTTCACAAAATCGGTGTCGACGCACATATTGCGTCAGTGGTGGTAGATTCGAAGATTCATCACTGTTTGCAGAGTCACAAAGTTAATAAAAAAGAATCTTCACTGTTTCGAAATGATGGATGGCTACTCCCTGTCCCGATAATGCGCCATCACAGCGCCATGTTAGGTTAAAGAATTTTGTATCGACAAAAAATTCCTATAATATCTCATCTTCTTAGTCCTTGGAATTGTAATAAAACTAAAAGGGGGAAGATTTGCTGACGTTCACGTAATTAAAGTGAATGCAACACGGGATCTGAACAGATTCTCACAAAAGGGCTTTCAACGTGTTCTTGCAGCGTTTCTATGAATTGCAGGAATGTTGGACCAAGTGCATATTATTACCAGTGGCAACTGTTGGTTATTATCTGATCACTATAAAGATGTCCATTCCACATAAACATTCTTAATATTTTTTTTATAATAATATAATCATATTTAAAGTTTTACAGTTCAATATCTGTGTAAATTCACTTGAAAACTAAATCTTTATTGAGTAATTTCTATGGATATTAATTATATCTTAATTTAAAAATTAAATAATGAATACAAGGCAACAATTTACAATTTAAACTAGGGTTTTTTTAACAATTGGTTTATACCAGGTTTATTAGATGTATATTATAAGTATTAAGTTGTTTTAAAAAATTGCGCTTAAAGAAGCGCCTGTCGGATTGCAACCACGTTACATTGATGTCCACCAGTTGGTCTGATTTTCTCGGTTGCTTTTACCCGTAAAAATAATACACTTATCTTTCGTCTATAACAGGCTATTCATAATCTTCTACACATATTAAACATATTCAGATTTTTATAAATTAATTTACAAAGACAACAGAAATTTATTTCTTTTCTGTACGATTGTCTTAGGAAGTAACAAAATAAATTCTGTATCAAGTTTCATTAAAATATGTGAATTATTCTGTTTTTTTCATCGTGTGTACCATAAGTGCATAAAATCTAGTTTAATCTGTTAATCAGGTCAAACCACTTTGGAAAATATATTTAAATACAACTTAATACAAGTTGTATAGAGTCGCAATTTTAGTTAGTCATTTCATTTGCCTCTGAGATTAATTAATGTCCGAATACAGTTTAGTGTAGCATTTGATTTCTTTATTTTGGTTTGAATTGTCTTCTTCCAATTTGATTTGTTGTTTTAAGTTCTAAAAAGCATCCAATCAGTGTGATGGTTATTAAATAAATCGAAGTAAACTTTGATAACTAGACTGCGGATGTTTATGTAAATTCGAATTCTTATAGACCAATTTTCTATTAACTTGAAAATAAATAAATTTTGTTACTAAATATTTTCAGTTTCCATTTTGCTACATATTATACATTCGAATGCATCATAAATTCATAAACATCCGCAGTCTATTTATAACGCTATATTATTCAGAATTTAATTACATACTCAGCATATATAAATTGTTAAACAGTTTTTGTACATTCTATACATATATATAAATTGTTAAATAGTTTCTGTACATATGGTCAGTTAATAGCAACACTGGAATCATTATGAAACGTGCGTCCGTTTACAAGGTCAGCGGATGATTCGATGGTTTTTGTTCCCATGGTAGCAACAAACTCATAGAATTGTGGTTTTAATCGGCATCAAGATTAACAGAAGCATACATGCGAATATACTTAACACCTTTTCATAAATAGATCGTTATATAATGAATACAAGAATAAGAAACAGTCGTTTGGTTAGTTATAGTCTATCACATTTCCATGTTATGTCTATTATTTCTTATAACTTTTCCGTTATGTGTTGGCAATGTATTTATAGTTTATCTATTACTTGAAATCTATCGATTTATGTATTACAAAACAATTTCTTTAGCAACTAGGTATAAGACGGATCATTTTCTATCGTTGACTATCTTGCACTTATCTACAGTACAGAACAAACTGATGGAACACAACGAATAATACATACTTCATTTAAACATAATTAACGATACTAACTGTGCAATATTTTCTTTAATGTGTTCTTATTGGAAGTAAAATGAAACAACAATGTTCCTTTTGGGAACAAAACGGTTTACTGTACACGTAAAATATATAAAATTTTATTCCGATAAAATTATAAGATATTGGACGTGTACTCTGTAAAGGAAGTAGAAAATAATTATACGTATTTAGCTACGTTCATTTTCTTTTGAGTAATATTGATTCAATGTTTGGTAGTGTTTCAAATACCTTCATACCTTCTTGGTTCAGTTCCTTTCATTCTGTCACAATTCTTCTACACTATTGAACTGTCTACCGTCTTGTAATTCAACTTTATCTGAGGCCACCTTGAAACACTTTCAAGAATATTCAAATATATTAAATGAGCAGATATGCCACTCGGGAACTATATTTTTCACTTGCAATTCTTACTGCATGTTTTTCCGATTGTTCTTCTACCACTTGAATATACTTGTCACTATTTATTGAATCAAATACAAAATTGATTTTCATGACAATTAGAAGAATTAGAAGAACCCACCTTCGATGATCTTGACCTTGACATATCTAGTGGAGGTCATCCTCCTAAGTGACCTTTTAAGAACGTTTCTTCCTAAGAATGTTTTAGCCGTCGGTCGTTGTTTGTTAAAAAGTTATTAACAGAAAAAAAGATTTGTCCGTATATTCGTGCTGGCAATAAGTAGAAACGGAATGCAATGAACAGACGTGTTAGCCAAGTCACTACCCAGTGTTAATCGCGCACCCAATATCCCACCACATACCACCCAGTGCCAACAACGCACCCAAAACAGGAAAGTAGTGGTACCGACAGTTTTTTTTACGAATATCTCAGAAACTGGGGCCGACCGACAGTTTCGTAAAAGGAAAAAGTTAAAAAATATTAAAAAATCATCGAAATCGTCGAGGAAGTAATTCTTCGACAAATTCACCTGATAATCAATTGTAGTCCATATCAAAACACAACTGCCGCTCAAACGAAGCGTTCCGCCATTTTGTCGCATACTACAGCCTATACACTGTCTGCCTGCGTTACTACTGACTAATGTCAATGAAGATCGGGCAGGAGCCAATGGCACCTGGAAATGCCAAAATCGTTCGTTTGTTTTTGCCAAATAAATTATAAGCCGTCGACAATATATTTTGTAGCCCGGGATACATTACACTTACACAGAAACGAAGGACGTGTAACGCCCGAGATCGGAACTGGTTTCGCGTGAAAGGAAGCGCTCTCTGGCATATACATGTGCAGCCGTTTTGACTCGATAAAACGAAAACTGTGATTCGGGGAACCTTCGTTCGCCAAAAAATCTTCCATCTGGAAATGTACGGTCAACGCGATCCTTATCGAACTGTAGCTTGCGTTTAATGAAAGGGCCTTGGGTAACTGGTAACGAGTTTTTATTACAACCCGCGGGTAAAGTGTAGGTAGTTAGACCTCAATTAACCAAACACCGTTTAAGGGCATTCACGTGTTACGATTACAGAAAAAAAATTGAATTTTAATTAATTCCAGTACAGCTATCCATTGTTTAGTAAGAATAGGCACTTGATAAGTAAATAATTGCGTGTATACAGTTAAGGAATATCGTTTCATTATGTATCTTTTTATGGTGAACTGATATACACGAAGTGGTCTGCTTTGTGCAGATTGACTCTTCAATTGATATCTTTTGCAGAGGAACATAAAATTCTATGGAAATCAATGATGCTAAAAA